AATTCATAATAGCTTTTATAATTGGGAAGACAGCGCGCAGCCGTCCGCGGACGATTTATTCCCGGCTGAAGTTGAACCTACGAGCGCGTTGATCTCTCCACCCCTCGAGCGAGCGAGCGAGCGAGCGAGCGAGCGCGCGTCTTACTGCTGAATACGGCGCCTGAATAAAACAAGAGGACCCCGGAACCGACGGAAACGCACGACGAGAATTTCATATCGCGACGCGACCGCTCGCCTTGCGAACCGCGTCTCAAAACTACGGTGAAAGGATCGAACGATTATGAGACTCTCAATGCGACTCGGAAAGGCTCGGAATCGTTCGCTCGCGTATGCACCACATTGTTTCTCCGCTTTCGCATTAAACAGATTTTAACCCTTCCCATCCGGTTCGACATTCCCGTGAGACCGATGATGAAATTAAAAAAGCCTGATTTTCAAAGGAGGACGAGAAATGACACTATTATATTGCGTGTAATAAAGTTCCTCGTGGGAACGTTCTCGTGTCTCGAATGCAGCTCGATTTTCAAGCACAGAGGGTTAAAATTTAGTTAGTCTTAATTACAAAAAGAATATCTTCGTTCAGTCAGTCCTTAGTAGAGAAAATATTTAGAGATCTTATCGACCGCGTGGACTCTACTTGTTTTTCGATGGAATCACGGTACTCAATGGAATCCAATTTAACCCCACCCTCTATTTAAATTATTCAAACGACAAACTATAAACCACTGAATTGAGACCTCGAATATTCAATTCATACGAAGAGAACAAATGTACAAACACGTGCGAAGACGTGAGACGATTCTCGCGCGTAAGCAACGCACACATCGCGATGTGATCGCGCGCCGAGGAGGGGGCCGTAATAGGCTTGGGGAACTTCGAGGTTTATCTTGAAGATGCTAATGAAATGTATATGACGCGAATGTACTCCCACGAGCGTGGCGCGCGGATGGATGTGACACAGACGGGAGATAGAGAGACTGCGAAGGAGAGAGAGAGAGAGAGAGAGAGAGAGAAAGAGAGAATCGCTGAGTCCCTTCATCGTTCCCGGCGATCTTCGACGTGCCGCGCTTCCTGGCGATGACATCTAGGGCTCAGCCACGAGGAGACCCGATGAAATCGAGCCGACGGGCTAATCCTCTCCAAGCCACTCGGCGAGTCGGGGGGACGACTCGTACTCGAAAATGACCCGGGAACCCGCCGGCGCGACGCCCATCCGACTCTGTCGAATTGGCCAGCCGAATCGCGCGCGAGCCGATCGCGATGACGCGATCTTTTCAATCGGCCCGATCATCATCGGACATGCTGGTGAGCCGCGCATGGGATCGCTCTTCAGCCGGATGACGAAGGGCGGAGGAACAGAGAGGAAGAGGAAGAGAGAGAGAGAGAGAGAGAGAGAGAGAGAGAACTCGCCCTGCAAATGCGCAACAACGAGCGCGCTCCGCCGCAGCGCTGCACTCTTACGCGGCGCGATCGCGGCCACTCGAGCGCCAACGAGTCCGGCTCGATTATCTAATTGATCAATTGAGCCTCTCCTTCTTCCACTCCGCCCCGCGACCCCTATCGCGATAATGAGCATTCATTTCATTACGCGCGCAGGCTCGACAAGACGGCGCGTCGGCCTTTTTGTCGCTCCTCTTTGGCCCGCTATTGTTCCCGTCGCGTTCACATTCGCACGCACACGCACGCACGCACACGCACGCACACGCACGCACTCACACGCTACGCATACGTTGCATGCATCCGGCTTATCGTGTGGACCGCATGCAGAATTTTTAAATGGTTCTCGAGCGTCGAAATTAACGACCGCGAGAGCGAGCGAGAGAGAAGGATAAGCGCGGATGATAATCGAGAGATATTTATTAGAAGGTGCGTAAAACGCGCGGCAAACGCGCTGTTTGCCGGGCGGAGCCGAGACTTTGTTGCATGTCGCGCGTAATGAAATGGAATTCAGCGGGATAAATTATGTTACTCCGTTGTTGTGCCGCGAAGTTTTATTAATAGAAACAATTATGAAGTGCGCGAACGCGCGAGGGAGGGAGGGAGGGTGGCCGGACGGTGGAGGAACATTTGTAGCGCGACCGCGCGGCGACGACTATTCCGCCAGCGCCCGGGACGGTTGCCCCTACGCCTCACCCCCGCCCGCGCGCACTCACACACACCGCGCCTCCCCCCCCCCGTGTATCTGTCCGCGGATACACTTTGTCGTATACTCGACTATATAATTGATCAATTGCGCCCCTGCCGCAATAATGAGCAGCAATTTGATTATCCGTGCTCAACGGCATTACGCAGTGCTACCCTCCGCACCTCCGTCCTCCCCTCCCCACCCCACCCCACCCCGCTGCCGTCCCTTCCCGCAGCAGTTTATTATCGATGTAATATTGGATATTCTGGTAATTCCGTAACCGATATTTATTTTGCCGCCGTTAATTGTTAATATACGATCGCCTCCCCCCCTTTTCCACTCGACTCTCGCCCTCCCCGTTGTACAATACAAAGTATAGCCCGCGGTTGAAATTATGCGACCAGTTCGTGGTCACATTTGGTCACATTTTCCCCAGTTTGGGGTTCGTCGTTTTTTTTTTTTCCGGAACGATTTTTCGATGGATGACGGATCGAAGGATCGCGTATATTTTTCTCCTCCTCCTTTGTTTTCACTTGCGTGCGCGCAAGTAACCTTTCTCGCCGATTGAACCCAACAGGTACGCGTGATATCATCCGATCGCGAGATTTGTGAATCTCTCGATGTGCTTCGCGGAGGATTCTTCACGAGAGTGTAAGCCGCAAAAATCACCCATATTTTTTTTTTATCAAATGCTTGCGTTGACAGCACGCACATATGAGTTTGAAAAGATTAAAAGGGACGCCGCGTACGCACAGAGCAATATATCATTTCGTACTGCTGAGAAAAATGGTTACTCTCAGTTCACTTTCCTTGTTTTGAGAAATGGTCAACAAAAAAAATGTTCTCGATAATAGTCTTGAAATATAACTTATTGTATATAACTTTAGAAAAACTCGTCATTATATAGTCAGAAGAAGAATTTATTCTCTCTTCAAAAATATTATAAAACTTGTATTCTATGCAGAAAGCGAGCCGAATTTTTGTTTCGACCTCATTTTCTTGTTTTATTTTAATATCCTTGATTGAAATATTAAACTCACTAGGATTCGGAATGTATTTTCAGTAAATTTCACGCTTGCGATGAACTTATGATGGGCTTGGAGATACGCAAACTTATGAAACACTTGAAATAAGCAACATTTACGAGGAAAATCGAAAAATAACGGAGGTCGCCGTGATTAATAATCGCGACAACGCGACAGAGATGAACAGAAAAAGAGAAAAAGGGGGGAGAGAGAGAGAGAGAGAGAGAGAGAAAGAGAGAGAGAGAGACAGAGAGAGAGAGAGAGGAGTGATTTCATTTAAACTTCTCGCTCTCTACACGCTCGCTCACTCGCTCGCTCACGAACGGGCGCTCTGTAAAATGCGAGGAAATATTTTTAATTTCACCGCAAGAACGTTTCGACTCTTTCGCTCGGCGGATCGACGTCCTGAGATATTTCCCCGGGACTAAAAATAAAGAGAAACGCGGCTCGTGTTTTACGATTGTTTACCGCGAAAGGGATGCCTCCCGCCCCGGGATCTTATGAATTCTTTAGATGCCGATGGGAGAGGAAGGGTGAAAGCAATTTAGCGACGAGAAGGGCGCAGGGGCGGAACGGAAGGGGAAGACACAGCAACACGGCGAAGTTTATCTCGGTTTATCCAAGAAGCCGCCGTTGTAAAATTCAACGTTGCCGCACGGGAGCTGAGGCGGGAGGGAAGGAAAGAGAGAGAGAGAGAGAGAGAGAGAGAGAGAGAGAGAGAGAGAGAGAGGGGAGAAAGAGAGAGAGAGAGAAAGAGAGAGAGAAGGAGAAAGAGAGAGAGAGAGAGAGGGGGAGAAAGAGAGAGAGAGAGAAGAGAAGGGGAGAGAGGGGGAGAGAGGAAAGGGATCCGCGCCGAATTCAACTCCGTGTGTTTCGGATAATTCGTGAAGTCATGTCACGTAGCGCCGCTGTGAACTAACGAAGATGTACGAAGGCGTGTCGGTCGTACCGCGAAATAACGCGGGGATGCCGCAAGCGGGAAATATTGTCCCTCGGAAAGTCGTTCGAAGAGTGAAGGGAAGGGGTGAAGGAAAAGAAAAAAACCGGTTAATCGACAAGTGAGCATCGCGCGCCGCAAGACGTGGTCTTTTGTCTTTCTTCTTCTCGCACGTGGATTCGCGCTTCTGGGCCAAAAATTCGTCAAACGGGAGATCTCGAAAGATTTTCGCGAGATATTTGGCCGCTATCCGTTCAATTTGATTTCCCGTCAAAATACGCGCGCTCCGATCTTCACCTCCGAAAACACTCCGGATTTGATTCTCTCTTTGGCACTTTTAAGATTACATGCAAAAAACACTCCGACATCTTTGCGCTCTGCTTAATTATATGCACGTTTTAATTTTATAGAGGTCCGAGACGACTCGATGGCGTCCGCGCAAATCTAATCGTCTCCGTGATAAACCGAAGACCGAAGATAGAATGATAATAAAAGAATGATGTGATTCATCGACGAATCCCCGGGCTGTAACCGAAAATATGACGCGCGATTCTATCTTTTCTCCTTTCGTGAATAGTAAAATTTGTCTCATTAATACGACCGCTACGTCGGCTATCGTTATTTTTATTTCTCATTCAATCTTCATCGAATTATTTTTCTTCATTACTTCAAGGCTCAACTGAAATTTGTTTAAATAAATGCAATCTGCGACGCATAAACTTATTTCATCGACTACCTATTAGCCGCAATCTCTACACGATCGATTATGTTTCAACGAGATATGGCGGTTCTACCTTCCTTCCTTCCTTCTTCTCTGCGAAAAGCACAATTCGTCTCATTAACATGACTGCCACCATTATACCATTTTCACTCCATTCGTTATTTAATTTAATAATTTTCTTGTTACGTCAAAGCTCAAGTAAAATTTCATCATCATCGAATCACGGCGAATAGGCGCGATTCGTCGTGCACAAATGTCTCGACCAATTTCATAGGCCTTCTGTGTTTACGCATCCTCGTTATACATTCCATTAGTTCTGCACAATCGACACAGAACGATTGCGCTTTAACGAGACGTGTCTCGCTGCCACACGACCAGCCAACAGCGGGACCGGCCCGGTGAGCCACGATGACGACGGCGACGACAACGACGACGACAACGACAACGACGGCGGCGATGGCGACGACAACGACAATGGCGGTGATGCGAAGCACGGAACACGGCTACGGTGTCAGTGTAGCAAGGTATGTCCGTCACGTAAGGCGCGGGCCGCCCCCCCCCCGACGAAAATTTGCTGCGGAATTTTCTGCGAAGCGCGTCTGCCCGCCGGTCGCCGATGCTTTTGATATCGTAAGCGCGCGCGGCGGGGCTCGCCAAAGTTCCCTTCGCGCGGAGCCGGATACGTCGTTATACGCGCGCGGACACGTAGCGGGAAATCGCGTAGACGCCGGTGGGACACGCGCAGCATCCGGTCTGCCCAGGCTCGCATACTCTTGTAGGTTCGCGCGCGCGCGCGCTCGCGTCTGAGCACACGCGAAACAATGCAGACAGCCGTCGCCATATATTATTCATCGAACAAAGGGCGGGCTGTGGAACACGCCACGGCTAAGGCGCGAAGGAAATAAGTTGTCACCTCCAGCTGCCAGCGCGCCGGTCAAATGTGACAGGCCGCGATACGTGTTCACTCTTGAACGAATGCGTCACTATCCCGGGGACGTTCCGCAGACGACGGCCGTCGTAGAAGGCGACGGCGACGCCGGTGCCGAGGGTGAGCGCGTTTTCCGCACTCGGATTTGCTCGTAGGAGATACGCGTCTTCGTGATCGCGAATAAAGTCGCCCGATCGACGCGACAGTTTTGCTCCGCAACCTGATTTCCCTTGCTTTTCTCTCTCCTTGGAAGCCGCGATTTTAATCATCTCGTTTAATTTTCTTGTGTTAGAACCTGATTCGCGGATCTAAATTATCGGCGCGTTCGACGAGAACGGTTCTGATACTCGTGTGAAATCTTTTGGGAGGTAAGTGCGTCGATCCGTTGGTCAAAAATATTTGGGAAATAAGCTGCCGTGCTAAGTCGACCGTTGGCGACCGACGTTTTATTTGCGGGACGCTCCTTTTTCGCCGGATAAAGTCACTCGATCGATATCGCGGCTGTTTATTCTCTCTGCCCTCGATTTCTAGCGACTTATCCGCGCGCGCGTTTTCCACAAGAATAGATTCCAAATATCAATCTAAGGCTTGGATTAAAAATATTCGTGAAATGCTTACGGTTTTTAATCGACTTATTTCATCGATGCTTCCATCAAGATCCAGCGATGCGCAAAGTGATAATCAACACAAGTGCTGCTAATTATGTCACACACGACGACGAGGACCTTCGAAATAGAAGATGAAGAATAGCATAAAAGGTACTCGTGAGCGACAGAACGACTCTTCAAGTTTGCATGAGCCGGAATTAACACAAGTTTTTTTCAGAAAAATAAGATAATCATCGCCCCGTTTTTTCCATCAGATCGACCGATGACGAACAGTTTGCCCGTCGAGATTCGAAACAAAAAGCGTGAAGCGCCGGTTGAGGAGAGCCGTGCTAGACTTCACGAGCCATCGAACTTTATGGATAGACGCGGATGAGTCGTGAGAATATCTAAATGCGCTGGATTGAGCGCCGTCGGAGCCATCTTCGTGACAGACGGGGAGGGGGAGGGGGGGGGGGAGAGGCAGGCAAGATCAGACGGATCGCAAACATGGATAGCAAGACGAGCTTTGCTCGACTCCCGTTTGTGACTAATAAAAATTTTAAGATCGTCTGTCGCCCCTTGGCGAGGTTCCACGATCGAATTAACATAATCGCGATATCGAAACGTTTCCGGCGTGCGCCGCGCGTCTCGGTATCGTAATTATGTTAAACTGCTCGACCCGGGAATCGTCGTCGTTTGCGAGCGATTCTCATTACCGCGACGTTGCGAAACGTTTCGTTACTCGTCCCGTTAAATCCCGATATTACCGCTTCCTCCTCTTTCTCCGTCTCTCTGTCTCTGTCTCGCCGACGACGGTACAGCCAGCCAGCCGAGGCCAATCGAATTTCACGAGCGACGCGATTACGATTGCTCATAATCGCCGCGAACTTCGCTCGATCCTATTACTTTTAATGGCCCAAGTCGCGCCAACGACGACGCACGGATCAGATTATTAATTAATAATCCGTTCAAATAAATCCGCGCGGCTGCGCTCACGTTCAATAGCGTCCCAGCTGCCGCGACGATCGGCGAGGACATGCCTAAGTACCTGCGTGCCGGCGAATTGCCGGCGTTTGTGAGCAACGAAACTTTTAAGATCCCTGAGAGTCGTTACGACGCTTTGACGACCGACGAAGTGCCCCTAACGTGGCCGTCGTTTCGGCGCAAACGCGGGATGCTTGAATCATGAATTGATGAATTATCAAATCGACGCGATGTGCCCTGTATGAATTTTTTTCAACTTCAACTCGGGTGTAGAAACAGCGTGAGTTTATCTCGTCCAAGAATACAGTAAGTTGTTCAACAGTCAATTTCAGTCGCTAAGATATAAGCGATTCAATATAAGCTTTTCAATATAAACAAAAATAATAAACAAAAAGTTTAAAAAACTCAAAATATCTGGAGCAAGAAGAAGCGAATAAAATAAGAAGAATAAATGAGTAAATAAGAAAGTAAATGGATTAGTCAAAGATAAACAAAAGTGCTCAAGATACGAATAAAATAATAGAAATAGTTCTACAGCACACGCGAAACAGATGCACAATAAATCAAGGCGGAATGTTGAAATTCGCTCTCCGGCCAACTGAAATGATATAGTAACTTCGAACATGAAATTCTCTCCGCATAGGAGAGACGCCATGGTCGTTTCTCCTCGGTCTCACGCAAAGTGAGATCGTGCTCGTTAAGTGTTAATAGCTTCGACGCGCTTCCCGATCCAGGAAGGTGCCGACGGAAGACGGCCCAACGAGAGGAGACGCGTGTCTGACGCGTCGCAAAGCCACGATACATTTCTTCGTTCGTTGTTACGAGTAAGTCGCTCGACTGTCGGGACAACGAAATGCGACATTGTGCACGCGCGGCACAAATTAGCGCGTGAAACTCGATCGCGCACGCACACCGTGTGCGTGTGCGCGTAAATGTAGACGTGCAACGCGCGCGAGAGACACGTATAATTTTTTATCGTTTCCCCGTTGAGGCCAATAATCCAATTTAAATGACAAATGATATACGACGGCATCCATCAAATTGATCGGTAATTTCTTATTGCGCTCGCTGCGCAAACTAATGGCATCCGAGTAATATCATCGGCAGTGAGAGAAGGAGCGGGGGACACCGCGCGCGCGATTCCACTTGCGCGACGAAAATAGTACGTGACGGATATAATGCGGTTAGCATCTATTTGAACTCCGAGGGGTGACTGCCCCTCAGCTTCGCTTCCGCCGCCGCCGCGGCAAGCGTAAACATCACGGCAGAACACAGGATGGGGTCGATTATCGAAAGGAGGGCTCTTGTTTTAGTGGAAATTCATATCCTTCATATCCTTCGTGTCGCGTCTGATTTTGCTTCGTCAATATCACCTGACTAACTTGTTTTAATGCAGAATGGATAATTTTATTCGTTCGATGATAATTCTTCGTATTATGTGACTGATAGATATTGGGTCGGTGCATAATTTCGTTTACTTTTTGACAGAAGTTTGCCCAAAACAAGGAATCTTTATAATGTTTCATACATCATTTTGTTGCTCTAAAAGGACAAGATTAGACCTTTAACAAGTGATGTATGATACATTATAAAAATTCCTTTTCTTCTTGGACAAACTTTCGTCAGAAAGTAAACGCTAAGAAATTGCGCACCAACTCGATGTATAAATATTATCGTGATTGAACGATCAAGTGATAATCTCGATATCGCGGTGGAGAAAAATGTAATCAATTGCAAGTAACAAATTGAATATACGGCTCATATAGAGAGCCGATAAAACGGATCAACAAATATATCGCATTTGTTTACCAGGTCTGAAGTTACTTGAACCTTGATCGAGCTTTAAAATGACAAAAAGTAGATAAAATTAAGCGCAGAGAAAAATTGGATAGAAAGATAACGTTAAAAAAGCAGAAACCAACGCGGCTCGGTAGATTTGGCCGAGTTGTTCCGCGTGCATATTCAGGTCGAAAGGCAATCACCGATGAGAACGTCCACCGAACGAAAGTATGAACTATTCATCGAAGGTTATGCGCGGATTAAATGTCTCTGGGTTAATAGCCCGGTAGAAGAAAACAAACTCGCCCCGTACTCTGACATGTTTTTGCAATATTAAGCAGCTAATTTTACGGAATACACATTAACCCCGCGACCGCATCAATATTAGTGGCGGCGACGACAGATGCCCCCACCATCGCAGTAAAGTTTCAATTTCCGAAAATATGTTTTATCGTTCCGCGAGCGTATCGTATAATTATGATTGTGTCTTAATTAGCGAGCGTAGCACGCGACGTTGCCGACCGTATTATTGCGTATACATTCAGCCAGAGACACATATTCGAAAGTGGAACAACCGGCGTGTTCTTACGACTATAATACAGACTGTAAAGAGATATTTTCGGCTTTCGATGTCCTATCACGGAATGAAGTCTCATTTCGTAATGGAACATCGAATGCCGAAAATATCTCTTAGCATTCGTGATAATGGCAAGAGCGAATTACGATCTGGTCTCTTAATCACGACTGATTAAAAGCGACGTTAATATAGAAGAAGATATATTTAAAAGTAGAACGGAATATTTTTCTATTGTAAAATGTGAATTTTCAGCGCAAAAGACAAGCGATCGATCGAGAGAGAGAGAGAGAGAGAGAGAGAGAGTCTATTTTGGTGTCATCATTTTTTTATGATGCGGTCTCTCCCCGTTGTTTTTTTCTTTTTTTGCAGTCCGCTCATGTATAAACTGAAATCGCGCTTTTGTTAAACTTTTATCTCGAGCTCGAGAGAAAAGCGATCGCGATGTAACATTTTTATGTCATCTGGATTTTTCAGTGCAATTTTTCGTTCTTATTTTTCAAGATTTGTCTGTACAAGGAGATGAGATCGCGCTCTTGTTCGTAAATTTACCTTCGGCTCGAGAGAAAAGCGACCGATTTTACGATAAGTGCCGCTAAAAAAATTATTCGACAGCGGAACGAGCAACCTTTTATTGGATGCGCGACAGTCTCAGTTTTCCAATGCATTTTGTTTCACATCGATATGACTTTTCTACACGGAATTATCGGCGAGCGGCGGATCCTTTGACGACGACCGTCGGCCGCCAACAATGTGACGCGTCGCTCCTTTAAGTAGAGCGCGCCGACGGAGGTGTCAAGTGCGCGCCACGCACGCGCTACAATGTTGCGAGCGGCGTGCCGCCGATCGCGCAGCCGCGCGTCGCTCTCGGGAACTTCGAACCTTCAATCGGTCGTAACTCGGTGAAAAATTGACGTAGGAACATAAAACAAACATCATTCGTCTCAGAATTTAACGTTGCGCATGCTCGTACTCGTCGTGTGCGCGTTTTGTCAGGGGACGTACGTTCACGTGTACGATTACGTCATGCGGCACACACGAGATATCACTCTGCAAAGAATTGTTGGAAAACATTTAGATATAAAACTAAAACTTGTCAAAAAATCTTCATCATGTGAAGAATTTCCTCTCATTTTAATTATTACGTACGTGACTTTGCAGACCGAATTGATATTAAATGCGAGGCACGTAAAAGTTCGTCGGATCATCGATGATTTAATCGGACCAAGAGATGAGTCATTTCGCGGACGCGAAAGTGGGTTGCCTGAAGAGCGGTGTTTAACGTTGGCAGGTGCTTCGATCGATCATGTACTGTTTCGTTATTGTTAAAAAAAGGAAACGTGTCTGAAAAATTCAATAAATACACACACGTACATTTATCGCCATGGAAACGATATAATCAACTCATGAAACGGCTAATAAAACAATGAAACCCTTGTCCCCGACTAATTTAATCTACACGACTTCGTAGTAACGACCCGATGCATCGCTAACAATACCACTCGATCCCGATTTTACCTTTACCCTCCCATCGAATCAACAGTGCCACAGAAATTTATTTTCCCCCTTTGCACCCACTCCAAATTATTCCTCGCCAGCCGTTCCGCTCCACCGCAATTCTTCGCGATTAACGAGATCAATCACCACCGCGCGCCGAGAGTAACCAAGAGAGGAACATGCGGTTTCGCGAACTTCTGAAAAATCGCGACTCATCCCGTGCTCGTCTCTTTACTCCCTTCCACGAGGGATAAACACACGAGGGATGACACGCGGGAGTCGCCGCAGCAGAGTGGTAGAAAATTTCCTACCGCGAGGATCGAACAGTCAGCGGGAGGCTCCACGCTCCTCGAGAGGATCTCAAGCGAGCGAAGTACCGAAAGTGTCGGCTTCGAAGGGTCCTCGCGGCTGGTGTCTCCACGAAAGACGGGGGAGATCTGAACGAGCACGAATGTCGGCGGTGAGACG